AACAAACAACAACAACAAAGTTCTGGGGAGTCGTTCTGATATCACCATTTCTCACATCACGCTGTATCCTGCCTCCAATAGGCAGTTCCAAAAACGATATAAAAGTAGTTCGACCTTTTTTGATATCTTTTATTCCGTGTTCATATTCGCAATACTGACGTTTGCAGAAACCGTCGAAAGGAAAGGTTGTGTATAGACCTGGAGGATGACAGAACAAACAAAGCAAAGACAATGTGACAAAAGTAAAGCGAATATCTGGAGAACTGGCGAAATCGGGGGAAGGGAGAGAAACAACAACACTCGCTGTTGAAAGTTCTGCGTGTCTTACTTTTGGAACAAGATGTTCAGTACTGCGCTTGAACGTACTCAGATGCAAAATTCAGTATAATAATTAGCATACTGTATATTTAGTACTATTTTACATAGGAAATAGTAAATAACTCAAAGATATGTCGAAACGTTCCTTAAAATTAGGAGGGCATTATGTACACAAAGGAAAAAAGAAGGAAAAGGGAAAAAGAACAGGAACAATAAACATGAACGAACATGACCCCCTCCCGGTGTAATTTCACCCACAGTAGCGCGATCGCGCAATCCGGATCGCGCGATCGCGAAGTTCGAACGCGCTCTGAGGGCGCGCGTTGTCATGGTGGAAGTAGATTACCGCATTCCTTCCACGAGTACGGTCGATGTGATCTTTCAATTTCCGCAGCTGGGTCACGTATGTGGAAGCGTCAATCGTCTGTCCCTTCTCCAGCAGCTCCCAGTACTCCATGCCTCTTCTGGACCACCAAAAGGACAGGAGAACCTTTTTGGGGTGAAGGTCGGCCTTTGGGGTGGCTTCTAGCTGTTCTCCTTCGTCAACCCATTGCCGCTTCCTCACAAGGTTATCGTAGAGAACCCACTTCTTATCACCAGTGATCATCGAGTTGAGAAAGTGAAGCCTCTTTTGGAAAGTGAGGAGAGGAGTGCAGGTGGTCACCCTCCTCGAGAGGTCATTAGCGGACAGTTTATGTGGGACCCATCGACCAAGCTTTGCTACCTTGCCGAGATTTCCTAGTCCACGTGCAACCGTCGAATGATCATAGCTAAGCATGGTCGTCATTCCTCTGGTGGTGAGGTACGGGTCCTCCTCCACGGTGGAACGTAGTACCTCCAAATCCATCTCCATCGGCCGACGCGACCTCGGAGCATCTTCGAGAGAAAAGGCTCCTTTCTTGAGTTTGGCGAACCAATTCTTGCATGTCATGTAAGAGATGACGTCCTCACCGTATGTCACCAGCTTGGTATGGGCTTCCTTTGCATTCCAGCCGAAATCCTGGAGCACAACTAACCAGTGGCGCAGGTACGTTTTGTCACAGTGCAAATTGTGCGACATTGTCTAGCGCAAACGCAAGCTCGGTGAGTGATAGCTAGTGTAATGAAAGAGTATAATGTACACGTCACGCACACGTGATGACGTAATACCAATGCGAACGAAATAGGAGAGGATCAAACACGTGTATAAGAACTAATGCGACAATCTAATAGTTGGCCTGTTGCGTGTGTGGCATTTTCGTCGGGTAAGCAATAGTGATCGGAGAATAAAGAACATCCACACATTGCAATCCGCCGTCTCCAGCTTCATTTTCATGCAGCTTCAAGCCGCAAAAGTGGTACACTTCTACGACAGCCAACCTTAACAACTCGCTGGCAGTCGTACAGTGTGTCCTCAAAGACGCATTCTGCAATAATCGGGTGAATGGGAGCTGTTGTGCTTCCCTGACTGGCGGTTTTTCATCTTAGCTAATGACATTAAAGGAGGCACAATGGTAGAGAGTCCGTCTTTCTCCACTCACCCCTTTACCACGAATGTGTTTTAGACGTGTTTCGACTGGGTCAAGCATCACGTTGAGGAAAACTGGTGCGTCAGTACGACTACTTCACACCATCCCCCTCTAAAATAGAGCCTCAGTATTATTTTCATGCAGGGTTATTCAGCATTTAGTGTTATTTTCACAAAATGAAAAAATTCTAACTAGATATAAACTCCAACTAGAAATGATTCAACTGGTTCTGTTTCGGAGCGCGTTCAGACTTGGCCATCGCGCAAACTGAATCGCGCTATTGGGATGGGTAAATTTGAAAGGGCCGCGTTCATGTTCATGTTACATGTTACTGTTCTTTTTTTTCTTTTCCAGTTTTCTGATGTCTTTCTGTGCATAACGCCTACAGTGAAACGTTTCGAAATTGCTTTTGATAAGTTATGTATTTCTATGTTTACCTTTCAATCGTATTTTTCAGATTTGGAATTGCGCAATCTCTTTTGTGGATACTCGTTTTTTTCATAGGAAAGTTCATCGAGGTAAATGTTTCTTTCAGTTCGACTTAGGAAAATTCCTCTTCATTTCGTATTTTTTATACTCGCAGTTTCCCAAGCTTTTCATGGCGTACCCTTCGAATGGAGAAAGACGTCCAGGTTCCATTATGTGCACAGGGTTTTTAACAATGACATGCATCTGGTGATGTACTGATGAATATGTATGGAGCACAAATAAAGATCTTTGTTTATTTTGTATTGATTATTGGTCAGGAGGGAAATTAATTTGAGGGAAGAGAAAATTATTGACACTACGAAACTAGCAGAAATGAAAATTTATGTGGCTATCGCAAAGCAGAGGTTACTGGCGTCCGCTGGGGCCGACTCCATAATCAACGGGTGTACAAGTGATATAGATGACTTCACGCCAGTCCTAACTGGCCGCACAAGAATAATACTCTTTGGTCATTCACAGTCGGAGGATGGGACGTGTGGCGAGAAGGATGAACCCTTTTCTGCTCGATTGCCTTCACACTTCACGACGAAATCGGGCGGCAGCGGCCGGAGTCGCTAAACGTATTAGAAATGTTTGAGTTGATCATAACGTTTGTCGAGTCGTGGGCCCTAGTAACCTCTGTTTTGCGATAGGCAAATAAATCTTCATTTCTGCTATTCTAGTGTCAATAATTTTGTCTTTCCTCAAATCAGTTTCCCTTCTGACTAATATTACTAATTTATATAAAATAAACAAAGAGATCTTTATTTGTGCTCCATACATATTCATCAGTACATTACTAAAAGCATGTCATTGTTAGAAAAGTCTGTGCAGATGGTAAAACTCAGACGTCCTTCTCCATTCGAAGAATGCGCCATGAAAAAGCATAGGAAACTATGGGCCTAAAAATGCGAAGTGAAGAGAAATTTTCCTAATCCGAATTGAAAGCAACAGTTGCCTCGGACTTCCCTACATAAAACAAGCTGCCGCAAAAGAGACTGCGAAACAGAAACATGAATGAACCGGCCCTTTCGAATTTACCCATTCCAATCACGCGACAGCTCGCGCGATCCAGTTCATGTGATGCGATCCAGTTCGCGCGATCGCGAAGTCTGAACGCGCTCTCAGCTGCATCACAAATCGGCATTGGAGCACGCTTTCACTGGTTATTACCCTGAACCTTCTTTGGATGCTTGCAGCTACCTTCAGAAACAACATTTCGCCGAGCGACAATCTCGATTCATTGTCACTATGAAGCTTCCAAACAACAAGCGTAGTTCTAGACTTATACATACAGGTCGCGCTATTTTGCGACCTGGAGCCATCCTCAAGCCAAACACTCGAAAAGTGCCCCTCCTTTGAGCACCCATAACTTCGTTGAGGGTAGAGCTTTTGGACAGAGGAAAGCAGGAATGTGGAGCACTCCTGTTACTGAGTTTGAGCTATTTAAAAATCCTCCCGTGATCCTAGCTGGTCATCCACAAACCCTATGGCTTTTAACAGTTATAGCAAGCTTCATACAGAACCATTTGTAAAAAGAAAAACTGTGCCGGAAGCATGAAGCTTTCTGCTTTCCAGCAAAACTTTCCTTTTATCCCTAGACCTGCTATTCGAAAAAATGCCCTGTTGTGATCACTTCGTGATCACTGCCCCACGACACGAAAAATCAACCCCTCCGACGCATAAAACCTTCAGTTGGCTTGTAGACTTTGGTGTGCTTCTAAAACGAATGTTCAAGAATATCAAGAAATAGTTCATTAGGCGCCAATTGGCATCACCTCAGCAATGCGCCATGCGTAGCGCTTTCACGCAGAGCTATTGGGAAGGTGCAACTCCGAGAAAGGGCTTCCTTCGTGCAAGTAGATGTGCTTCTGCGATAGAAAGGTCCGGAAGTGTATGTTTTTCATCTGTTTATTAATTCATTTCGGATACACATTGGAGCGGAGGTGGTGCAGTGACAAGTGACGCGCTTTCTACTCGCGCGTGCCGGGTTCAAATCCCGGGCCGACTTTCGACCAGACTTCTTTTTTTCTGTTTCTCTGCACACTCACTTCAGAAAGGCCCCGCGCTTACGACCTCCCCCTACTTCGAGGTCAAATACGACCCCCCCCCCTGCTGTGATGATCACAACGATGGCATGCCCTGAATGCAGGGCTCAGGAAAAAACAAAAACCGATGCTGAGAAGCAGAAGATTTCATCCAAAAAAGCCGCCATTGAGAACTCTTCGATGACAACGAGGAACTGTGCTCTGTGCACAAGTTGGCGCTCTTCAAAATCACATAACTCCGTTAACACATTTTCAGGAGTTATCTGATTGGAACCACTAGATTCGCGCTTGTTTTTTTTTGCAACTACCGTAACACTTTAGAAGTTCTCTAAAACATACGTAGTATAATAAGTTTCTCAATAAATCACGTCATCCACAATTCATTAGCTCCATTTTTACACCTATCCCGTTTTCACGCTGTCATAGCTATGTTGACCAATGACTCTTCCATGTGACTCTTCCCTCTCCCTCCCGCCCTCCCCCCTCCTCCTGCATCCCCTTTCAGTGAGGCAAATTAAATTACAAATTAAATTTCCTTCATTGAGAACTCCTCAAAAGATGCTTGACCCTACTTCCAACGCTTTTTGTGTGTTCAATCGATGTGATTTAGGCAATAGAAAATTCTTCTTCGTCTGATGTGATCAAGGAGGGCTTTGTGATGGTGTTGAGTGAGGCAGGACTTCTTGAAAATTTCAAAGTTCGTTTGAAATTCAATGCCTTGGGTCGCGCTGGCTTATTGGAAAAGGTCAATAGGTCAGCTGGGTCATTTCCAGTGAGATGAACACCGTTGTACGCGTCTTGAGACGATGAACTAAAATCGACCATCAAAATTTGCGAAACGATTCTTCGAACGGAGCTATAGAGGTTTTTTGCATTGCCTTTCCTTCGAGGCGCGCTGGCGCTCGAAGCTGGCATCCTTAGCTCAACTTACTTTTTCTTCGCGCAAGACGGCTGTCATCCTGTTCAAGGGTTCAGATAACCATTAGGGACGGCACTCTAGCGGAATCAGAGACTTTAATCCACTTCGAAGAATGGGGTTAGGTCAGTCATGGCTGAATAGTAGCCACTGGCGGTACTAGGGCTAGTCTTCCACCGAAGGCTGGCTTTCGAGCTGAGTTACCTCTTCGGTAAAGTCTTTATGCGGAGAACACCACCTGACTTACGTGTTCGCATCATTCGCATCAGTTTCCTCTACAGCTCAGTTCGAAAGAAGTTCCATCCCGAGACTAGTCATCGATGGTAGGTGAGCTCTCTCCTGCTGCTCACTCATAGAATATACCACACATTTTTTCAAAGTGGGTCAGAATCTCAGATTTGTCCAGAAACTTGCTCCCAAGGGCAATTGTCTCGCTGGTCATGAATATCACACTAATTCAGTGCGAATGTCATGCTTTATAAAAGGGACAACCGCAGCGCTCTTTTGAGCCACAGGGTCCACACTTTCAACAAGAGTTATCGCAGGTTCTCTTGCGGGATAGTGCAGGCGAGCAGAAGTGTTAGATATTTTATCGTCCATGCTCACGAAAAATGCAAAAGCAATCATCTATGAGGGTATCAATCCTACGACTTCTTGCCTTTGACATGCGTTCGCTACCTATTGTGTTCTGTTGCTGTCTATCGTCACCAAATTATGAAGCCACCTCCAATACAGCCGGACTGGAGAAGGCCTGTGGAATTCACGTAACCTACAAACAGCTGCAGAACTTCTTGTATCAAATCACCCATGGTCAGCGGCGACCGGCACCTCTGATATGGAAGCCCTCCAACGCTGAGCAGCTCCGACAACGTCGCTACGGTCCAGGATATCATCTTCACCGCAGTCGCCAAGGCACGGGTTGATGGTATCGACCGGGAGTTCCTGGAATGAGAAGACCCATATTTTCTTCGTGGACCCCGGACTGGAAGTGTACGCTGACGGTTACATCAAGCAACTCGAGGAGAATATCTTATCTTCATGTCGTCGTCTATACCATCTTGGAGACATCATACATATCACAACATCGTCTGCTACAGTATCGTGTGCCAGCACATGGAATCGAAGGGCGTTGGAAACACTCTTGACTACTTGGAAGAGCGTGAGTAGAGTAAGAAGACGGAATGTCCAAGTGTGTCACCTAGTCTGAACCGCCTCGATTACTGGGTCCGCGAGGAGCTCAACAAGGTGGTCTACAGTGGCAGAGGAACTAATGACCTCGCTGAACTCAGGTACCAAATCGCGGTCGCGTTCTACAAATTCTCGATGGCGTTCGTCCAGAAGGCTGTGGCGGAGTTTCGTGATAGTGTACAGTGTGTTGTTGGTGAAAAAGTCTAGTCAGAATTCAATAAAAAGTAAATTCTATTGTCTCAAAAAATGGAAGAAGTGTCTTTTTTTGGCCTTTCCTGTATGTGCAGATGCTTCCGTGTTTCCTTATGAAGGCATTGAAACAACCACGCGGGGAGAAAACCCTCGTTCACTCATTTCAGAGAATCGCTCCGTAAATTTAGAAGGAATGTTACGGCTCAGTGTTTCAAGGCGCATACTACGATATTTAGTCGCATTGCATAATGATGAACTGATCTGTTGACCTTGTTCGTGTGTTTGAATCACTTTAGTCCTGTATTATAGTCTGCTAAAAGGCGGTACTGTACGGTTAAAATGCTGAGCACCGGAGAGGTTGCTGTGGACATCAGGAAAACCCGTGACACTCCACCCAAGCGTCCACAAATGATTGTTCAGTCTGCTGAGCTGCGATCCATGCGAAAGGGTCGAACGGTGTTAGAGGTGAGTAAAGTCTGGAGGGTTTCATTGCAGTTGTGGAGCGCAAGGTTCTATCTTTGTATGTACTATTACGCAACAAAATTGTGTGTGTGCAAGGACAATTTAATGCCAACAACAACAACTGCTCTTGAGAAACGTTATCAAAAATGTCTTTGTGATTGATAAAATGTAATTCGTCTCAGTCGTTTATTTTATAGACAACATTTTATAGACAGACCGGCTTTAAACCCTTCTTCGGGTCTACATCATCACATTCAAAGCCTACACCAACATCATTTCCTACACCAACATCATTTAACTTTACAAACACAGGAAAGCAATTCAACGAGGAAACAATCAACAAATAACTGACCGGATTCCTACGGGACGGAGGGTCGGTCGGGGCGGGTTAGAGATTCGGGAGTATGCTGCAAGATGGTCTCTGATGATGTTGCTAACAGTAACGCGCAACAATGACTCACCGTCCCAGCTGTCCTTTCCTTTAGAACTGGCACAGCTAATTCGGTGAAGCAGTGGTAAGATGGCATAAGTTGATATACTGCCATTTGTCATATGTCACGTATCACCACTTATGTCACATCATTGTGCAGCAATTATTTCTATTGTCCCTAGCTCCTCCCTGTTGTTGATCGCTGGATTCCTCTTTCGAATTTCTAGCGCTCCCTTTATTTTCCTCTCCCCCGGGTCACTTATGTTCCTGTAGAACACGCACACCTTGAGTTCAGGTGCGCGCTCATTCGTGTGGCGCAAGGAACGATGCCTCGTGAAAGGGTTATCCAGATAGCTGGCTGGGTTCCGTAAAGCCTTAGATGTTCATCGAGCCTTTTGTAGAGTGGTCGTCCAGTTTCCCCGATGTAGAATTCCGCACATGACGCACACTCCACTTCGTACAAGGTGCTCTTCAAAAGGCAAATCCTTCGTTCATCGTGGCAGTAAAGGCACTTTTCGCGGCCACATTGGTCATATGGTGATGAAGGTATGGTGATAAAGGGCTCGTCTTCGACGGCACTCCCGCGGGCGACGATTCAATGTACATAAAAGTTATAAATTGTGAACAGCCGTTACGTCAGCTCGTTGACGCACGTAGACTGCTCAGCCTGCCAAGAACTTCCCGTTGACGCATGACGTCCTTGTACGGATGCGGCTTGTTGACTGATGAAGATGATTGGCTGGAGCAGGTACGGCTTGCTGACATATGTGGACGGTTGACGAGATGAACGTGGGGACTTGTAGTGATATAGACGAAAGTAGTGATTGGATCAACTGCTCAAAGCGGCTTATTAGACCGGAACACCCTCTGATTAAGTGGAGCTGCCGCAAAGGTCTTCCGTAAAGATGGCAGCTATGATAAAGTACACGGGGGGCTCAACTTCCAAGGCGATCTAAGTCACACTATATTAGATTCTGATTGGACATTTCCACCATCATATTCACAGCACATTGTATACTATCACGAAACTCCGACTCAGCCTTCTGGACGAGCGCCATCGAGAGGTTCTGCCACGCGACTGTGAGTGGGTGCGTGAGTACAACGAGATCGTTGATTTCTCCGTCACTGTAGACTACCCTGTTGAGCTCCGCCCGAACCGTGTAAGAGGTGGATGTTCCGTCTTCTTCAGGTACTCAACATCCTTCCATTCCAAGTAGGCGAAAGTTTTTCCAACACCCTTCGTTTCCGTGTGGGGGCACCAAATCCTGTAGTCCTGTAGCAGTACGAAGTCTCCGAGGAGGTACAGGCGATGACATGAAGGCGGGATTCTTCACGAATTGGTCGAATTGGTCGATGTAGCCGTCAGCGCTCACCTTCAGTAATGGGTCCCCGAAGAAAATATCAGTCTTCCCATCCCGTAACTTCGGGTCCATACCACCAACTCGCGCCTTGGCGACTGCGGTGAAGATGATATCCTGGACCGTAGCGACGTTGTCGGACCTACTGGACGTTGGAGGTATTGCATATAAAGAGTATTGGTCTCCAGGTAGCTATCCATGGGTGACTCCATTCAAGAAGTTTCGCAGCTGTTTGGATGTGACGAATTCCAGAGGCCTTTCCATTCAGGCTGCGATTGAAGATTACTTCATATTTTGGTGTACGTGAAGGAGATGGACGAAGGCGTGAGCCTGCTTATCGAGGAACATGGGTATCTTCCGCTCTGGCATTCGTATCCACTTCCCCTGTTTGGGCTGCGAAAACTTCGTTGATGTGTGACTCGGCCGAAGTGACTTTTCTGCCTCCCCCTGTAGGTGTCGATCTAGCGTTTGCTAGCGTTTCACTAGCGTTCACCAGCTTGGCAGCGGCGGGAAGAAGCGAGTGTGAGGGAATGGGAAGAGCGAAGAGCTCCATTAGGCGTCGGCGTTTGTCACTGCACATACTATTAGACAGTTACCGTACACTAAGGTGATTAAATTGGTGAAAATCACAGGTAAAAAGATGGCGATACATTCAATAAACATTACGTAGACATGACCAAACAACTTCAAAAATCTAATGAACACTAAGGATCATGCTGAAGCTAGAAATGGATAGACCACAGTTAGAAAAGGTGACAGTACATTGGAAGCTACCAAGTCGTTTCTTGCAAAGCAGTTAGAATAAACGACAATCTAACAACAACTGGCTAAATGTACAGCTATTCAAACGGAAAAAATGAGGACGGACGGGTCTCAAAGGATAAAACAGCTCAGGATCATTTAGGATCTTACACAAAGAAGGGCATGTATGTGTCGGGCTCGTCCAGAAAACGAATTACGATGCAAATAGCTTAGAATAATTTACGATTACGTTGGTACGAATTACCACTAATTCCTAAACGAGTCACTCCCATGATCAGCCCTAAAAAAGATGTTTCTGCAAAAGACGAGCGGTTTCACAATTCAGTTCAATTCCGGTACAACAAAGTTATAAACATTCCGTTCCAGCAGGCAAGGCACAGAATTACGCATTTAACCAGTTTAGTGTACGGTATTGTCTGGTAGTGCGGTGCGGTTGTACACACCGCAACTCCACAACGCCTAATCGAGCTGTTCGCTACTATCCTACTTCCCCATACTCACTATTTCCCACCGCTAGCAAACGCATGTGAAACGCTGGTGAATCACTAGCAAACGCTGGATCGATACCTATACCTTCCTTGTTCTCGCGACGCTGGTGAACGCTAGCGTACGCTGGTAAAATGCTAGCGCACGCTAGTGAAACGCTGGTGACGCTGGCAAATGTAAGGTCGAGACCTGTACTTTCCTTTTTACTGACGCTGTGGTGTGGAACCCTGAAAACCCTGCGGAACGCTAGCGTACGCTGCCGCAAAGTATGAGCACAGCCTAACTCTTTTCCGGAAGCGAAGCCGATTTTGACACCAACTCTGTGGCTTTTGAAATCCTCAGTGTGGCTTTCAACATTGTACGGACTTCGGTAGCGTTGCGTGAAAGGGGGAATCTTGTGGCTGAGGACTTTTCAATGAGCGTTTTTTTGAGCTCCTATGTCAAAAAGGAAGACTACCTTTTCATAGGCTTTCGTTCTGTAGTCCCAGAAATTTCCTTCGGCTGTCATCATTAGAACCGGGTGTAGGTTAGGAATCCACGAGAGGTCACGGCAGCCATGTTTTGCCTCGCCGCGCGCGGCGATTGCTTCTCTGTTTGTACAAGACCCATACAGTCGTGCGATTAAGATCCCGGTCCTTCATATAGTCCTGGCATCACTCGAATCTGCTTGGCATTTTGCCAAACTAGAATATTCAATGGGACGTCAATATTTTAGAGTGGCAGCTGTATTTATTCAACAGATTGCTGTATTTCTTCAATACTACCTACTTTCCCCGTCTGGCCGCAAATCTTAGGCCTTTGCAATACCTTGCAAACGAGTGCAAAAGAAGTAGTCACCCAAAGTGAATTTTTGTAGATTGATGATGTATTCTCTCAATATTATTTCTATGTGAATGGACACTGCTTTATACTACTAGTTGAACATCGGGCCCACACCTGCAAGTAATAAAGCAGACTGTACTGGAAATCTAACGGACTATGCAAACGCCGCGCACATAGCGAAAACATCGCGAGGCCCACTTCTCCTCCGTCGCGTCGCGGCGGCAGGCTGACCTCTCGTGGAGTCCTAACCGTTCCCCATTAGAACCTATAACATAGCGCGACTACTTTGGGTATGCAGATATTGTTGGCGGGGTATACGGTAAGTTTACTGTAGAATAGGGGCGGAGCCTATCTCGCCTTTTAATTATCGCCTGGGGGTGTGACCTCATTAAGTTGCATGCGGCGACTGTTGTCTCGCCTGGGGTGTGACCCATTAAGTTGTATTGAGGCGACTGCTGACCTCAGCGGCTCTAATGCGAATACAATATCGAGTTGAACGATTAAATGAAACACTTTATTACGTCTTAATATGTATTATAATTATCGTCTTATTAGCGACTAATATTATTATTACATATAATAATAAAATAATAATAATTAATAATAATAATTTATTATTATTATTATTATTATTATTATTATTATTATTAATATTATTCGTAAACATTCCACCTCGCTCAAGCGTAGAATCGCAAAAGGGATCAGCTCGGCCTGAGATGTAGAAAGTTTCTTTTGATCCGTTCTATGTGCATTGTTTAAGAATCAATAATAATAATAATAATAATAATAATAATAATAATAATAATAATAATAATAATAATTAATAATTAGTAATAATAATATTAGTTGTTAATAATAATGATAATTATAATAATATTAAGACGTAATAAAGTGTTTCATTTGATCGTTAAACTCGATATTGTATTTTAGAGGCGCTATAGGTCAGGCAGTCGCCTCTGCAACTTAATGGGGTCACACCCCAGGCGATAATTAAAAGGGCGAGATAGGCTCCGCCCTATTCTACAGTAAACTTACCGTATACCCTCCCAACAATGTCTCACACCCCGAATACTTTCACTGTTCTCATTCTCTTTGTTCTCTGTTCACATTAACGCGTTCGTGATACTTGTATCTCTCTCCTCTCGCTCTCTCTCTCTCTGTTGTGAGTTTTATCGTAACTCTGACTGAATGGTCTCAAGTGGTTTGAATGCAATGGAAATTTAAGTTGATGGGTTTGGATTCAGGCGTCTTCTGATCGGATGCATTTCAATTG